TTCATGTGCTTTTTTTTTTTTATCAGGATTTTTGCTGTTCTAATAATTACCCCTTTGAAGAGGTAACCCTAAAGTCTTTTAGGGATTAGATAAGAGCTCCCAAATACTTTTGTCATTTTTGGCCTTTGGAACAAAGTATGTTGCTAAGAGGTCCAAGGACATTTTGATTTTTAGCCAAGAAACTGGCTTCTTTTCTTTGGAGTCTTTTTTACCCTAACTGCCTAGCCAATTCCTACCACAGACCTCTCTGGCTTCTTCCATTCTGAACAGGGACACAGGGTGAAGCAATTGGGGTACCCCTTCAGTGGGTCTATCTAAAGGAGTCCCAAATTGCATAACTCTTACCTGTACAGAGAAAAAGTCCTGACAGGTAAATAGGGGGTATAAAGGAGAAGTAAAGGCAAGAGTAGTTAGCTTTACAAGTTATAGATTGGTGAACCAGAAAAAAGAACAGGGCAAATTTCAAATGTTCAGGTCAGAATCCACTGGGATTTCTTAATGAGAGCTTCCAAAGTATCCCTCTATTTTTTTCCTACTGATTTTTCTTTCTATGCCAAGGCTGGACTCGAGAGTGATGGATTCAAGATTTGCTTTCAGGTATTTTCATAGCTGTTGGAGTAGTTAAAATCAGTGTCGGTTCCCTCTCAAAGGCTTTGAGATAACTGAGGGTTGCTGAGGTATGTATGATCTGAGGGTATGCACACTGGAAAGCCTTTACCCAGCATGGATTGTGTCTTCTCTTCCTAGCCTTCCCCAGATTGTATACTTTAGCCCTCCCCAAATCCAGGAGATCATCCATGATTAGGGCCAAATCACATACAGTTGGCTGGGAAGAGTGGCTGGATACTCCCATGAGGGTCCAATGACCCTACTTGGCCCTCCTTTAATGAATGAGCACAACCATCAACAAACCCAGTTGTGACAATGTTTAGCGATCAGGAACACCTGAAGTCATGATGATGGTAGTTATTTCATGCAGAAGAGACTGCTATACAGCATCATCTTATTAAAAGGACATGGAATGTGAAAGGATTTGGTGCTAGGATTCACATATGAGGGAAAACATATGTCGTTTGTTTTTCTGAGTCTGTATTACTTCACTTAGCTTTCCAGTTTCTAGTTCCATCCATTTACCTGAAAATTTCATAATTTTGTCTTTCTTTACCATTGAGTAGAACATCATTGTGTAAATGAACCACAT